CCATTACTCCGAGAATTATCTCATTTTCAACTGAAATGAGAGAGAGAGAGAGAGAGAGAGAGAGAGAGAGAGATTAGATATTATCACAAATTCATAGTGCATGACATACACAACCCCTCCAAACGCTTTATATCTCTCGCGGCTCTGATGTGGAAATAACGACAAATAAACACTAATATTAACAAAAGTATTGCCGGAAATATAAAAAACCAATTGACGATTGCATTCACTATAAGGCTTCCGATAATTACAAATACCTTCTATGGATATTAATTAACAGTATTAGTGAAGTATTTTGATATATCATAAATAAATGATACAATTTTATTAATTTACATTAAGACATTCAAAGGCAACCGATGGCAACAACTCGTCCACAATTCCCGTATCTTTAGAAAATCTGTTTAGTATTCGTCCTAAAAATTATATTTAATCAATTGATTAATTAATCATTAAAATCGATAGCAAATAGTGTTAAGAGTGTTACCGATGGGCGAAGTCTCAAACAGATGTATCGGTGATCGCAATAACGCACAGAATATTCTGTTATAGAGATTAACCGAAGATCTCATACACATTATGTAGAAACAAATGATGGATAACAGGGCCGACACAAACAGACCGCAGGTTAGAGTCGTGTAAATAATTATGTTGAATGTTTGATCCACTTTATCAGGCGTTTTGCGTACTTCATTAGTCCTAATATACGTATATTAGGGAAATTAAATTAAATATAATAATGTAGACTCTTATAGTACTAACCATAAGCTTAGCCAATAAACACTTCCCTGATAAAAGACTTGGGAAGTGATCAAAAACAAAATGGTAAGAATTACAACTAGAGGTCCGGCGCCGGCTTTAATGTACTCATAATATACAGAGGACTCAACGGATCCAATCATTTTGAGTTCGGCCTTCACTTCCTGTTCTTCCATTTCTTCCCCTTCTCTAACGTCCGTCACTTCCGATCCCTCACTAATGGTTGAGACCATCGATGGTGTGACAGATGTCCTCCTTTTCATAACCGTCCTATCATTTGTTGCATCGGTTTGTCTCTGATATGCCATGAGATCAATGCCGCGCTCTTTGAGCTGAGTGTAGGACCCGATGGCCACACACTCGCCGTCGTTGAGCACAAGTATTTGATGCGCGTCTTTGAGAAACTGGATGCTATGCGTCACTAAAATAGTCACCTTGTCTTTCAGGTACTCAACACAACATCTGATCCAATAGTAAACACATTAAGCATTTTGTCATTTAAATAATAACTTATTATTTATATATTATACTTTTGGTAGATATGTTTGGCCACACGTGTGTCGACAGCACTCAATGGGTCGTCCAAGAGGTAGATGTCTGCCGAGTGGTACAGAGCCCGGGCCAGACTCAGCCTAGCCTTCTGACCGCCACTCAACGCCAGCCCTCTCTCCCCCACAAGTGTTTGGTCTCCAAATGGCATGAGTTTGAAATCTGTGTCCAAAGCGCACGCTTTCACCACTCGATTGTATTTCTCTTCATTATATTGAGAGCCAAACAGAATATTCTGTCGAACACTCGCTATGAAAGCCCACGACTCCTGCGGCGCGTACGANACGCCTTCACCACTCGATTGTATTTCTCTTCATTATATTGAGAGCCAAACAGAATATTCTGTCGAACACTCGCTATGAAAGCCCACGACTCCTGCGGCGCGTACGACACCCGACCCCTCACTACCACTCGACCCGACACTAGCGATATCTCATTCAGAATTGACATCAATAGTGAACTCTATTTTTGTTTAATTAATAATAATAATAAACAAAAATTTACTGTAATTTATAATATATAATATTAATTAAAATTTTTGTTTGAAAGCCCATACCTTTCCACTGCCAACGGATCCGACGACAGCCAACAGTTGTCCGGGTTTTACACTCAGACTAATTTCCCGAAGCGTGGGTTTAGTCGTCTCCTAATGTATTCATAAAACTTTAAACTCGTGTTAAAAGGCATACAAAATCATACATTATTCCAACGAACGCTCATTTTTTCGATAAAAACGCCTTTTTCTTCATTACTCGAAGTGTTTTCCATTACTCCGAGAATTATCTCATTTTCAACTGAAATGAACGCCTCGTTGTCTTTCCCTTCCCTCTCATCCAAACCACTTATCTCTTCGAGTAATAGAAAATCCTATTTTAAATAAACGTGTTAAAATATTGCAATGCAAATTTAATAAACTTATTAAATTACAATAAAGTTTACCTGCATACGTTTGATTACTGAAATTATTTCACCCAGAGCAGAAACGGCAAGGGGTGCATTATATCCTAGAGTAACACGTATTGCATTAAAGTAAGCAATAGTAGCAAAAGCCGTCTCCGCCGACAACAGCCCACCCATCAGTACATATGTTAGAAAACAGGCGTATATTATAACCCGTATTAACACAAAATTAATCGACTGATTAATGCCTTTCAAAATGTTTGACCATCGGATTTGCTTTACTTCGGACCTAATGTACAGTATATTATTGTTATACAATATTTATTGTATTATCGGAATCATGAGAAGGAATCATAATAAAGTCTGCCCTCGTCATAAGGGATTTTGTTTGAGCAGATAAAATAGTGTTTTTTACATCAAATTCCTCTTATATTGAGATTTGAATTATACAACAATTTAAACGGATTTGTTTGTCAAAAAACATTCCGTTATATTTGAATTTCCCTTTGTATCGCTGTCCGCTATATTGAGGGCAGACTGTATTATATCATTTGTGGCATTACTTGCGAGCGGTTGCGACCAACTGTGCGAAGGGCTGTTCCCAGGCGTACATCTTTATGACACGCATTCCGGCGATAATCTCTTGCATTAAACGGATTCGACTGTCGGTTATTTTGGCCGTCTTTTGACGTATATTACGAAACATACGACCCATTAGTGCCTGAAATGGTATAAACAGCACTATTACTGTCATACCGGCCAAACACGCCCACCGAAGGTATGGCCACAACAGGTATAACACAATCGCCGCCTGCAGTGGCGCCACTAAAAATGACGACGATCTCACAGCAAACTATTTTCTCAAAATAATAACACCCACTTTAAATCACTAAACTTTAATTATCAATAATTAATTCAAAACCTAATACCTCATCAAATCTGTGGACATCGTTAGACATAATGTTTAATATCTGGCCAACGGTTGTCTGTCCGAGTGATGAGTGACGTAAACGCATTGACTTTATTACAAATGTAATTTAAAAATTTTGACACATAAATGTTATAAAATAATATACTTTGTCTCAATTCTCAATCTATGTGCAATGCTAAAACACTAATATTAAATCTGTAAATAATGCTGATCTATTTTTAACCACAATTCAGTATGAATAATGTGGTTTATAGGATCGTTCGGCCACCCCCCTCCCCCCTCCCGCCCCCCCCGCTCTATGGGATTTAACATGGAATTACAGCTTAAGTCTATGACATAGGATTAACATGGGAAAGCTCTCATAGGATTAACATGGGGAAAATCTATAGGAGTAATGTTATTTCAATGGAATCATGCTTTTTCTATGGAGATATACTAAATAAATCTGACATAATAAATAGAACTAATTCTTGTAAAAAACATTCTCAAAATAATAATAGTGAAAGTATTTCAACAATCGTATTGAAAAATTAAAAATCTTTTGATGCATGTCCCGAATTGTGGTTAACGTATAGCATCGCTGTGTGATCCTTGTTTAAGCATTACCCGAATTGTGGTTAACGTATAGCATTGCTATGTAAACCTTGTTTTGTACAGAATAGTGTTGTTAATTTCAAAATATTTAACTCAATATTACAAATACAGCTATCACGGGCCGCGAGCAGGGTGATCAGAAATTATTAGCAAATTGGAAAATATATTTTATAATATTTAAATAGCCAACGTAGGAAGCACGGTAAACATTGTTATTTGTTAAAAATGCTAATTTTTAAGTTCCAAATGTTACGTTTTATCCATTATGAACGCGTGTACAATACGTGACACAATTACCAACACTTGTACTGACCTTGCGGTAGATAAGAGCGCAACAGGCGGTCCGTATTCTGACCCCCACTTTAGTTTTATAAATATTATTCAAATGTGTGATAAACATGTTTCCAATAGCTGCCAACACAATACCCACGGCTGCCCACTGCGCCCACCACTGGCTAGTGTTGGAATCATTGTTGAAATATCTCACCAAATGAGTGATACAATACGCCTGAATCAGGTTGAACCCCAATTCCTAGAGGTTATAAAAGTTTTAGGTACACAAGTAAAAATAATTGATAAAATAATTTTAATTATTACCTTGATCGCATCTGGAATGTAACATACAATAAGTTCGGGTCCGAACGATTTAAATAGTGCCCAATATAGTGATGGCTTTCCGTTACTTTTTAGTTGTTTATCCCATTTGCTATCAAATTTGATGTAAAACTTTATACAGTATTTTTAATATTTTTAAAAAATAAAATGTTCATGTTACATTTCTAGCTTATGTCGTACCAGATGTGTCTCATCTGATTTTGGGCACCGGTAGACATCACTAAAATTAAGCTCCCGTTTGTGCGCCCGAATGAATAGACTCCACAACCAACTAATTAAAATAATTATTAATATGAATTAAGATGAACAATATTTTTTATAAATTACCTGAATGTAAGTTTTGAGATTATGTTAATACGATCCCATGGACTCAAAATGGTTACCAATCCCTCAGTTATTTTCATAGTATTTTCTTTTTAACAATAATTAACATTAAAATTTATTTTTATGTAAAAGACATAAAATACTCAATAAATTAATATTATATCTGTATATGAGTATACAATAATTGTATATTTATATACAGATGTTTTCTTATGTGATTTTATTCCTAACCACTGGTTTATATTCAGATAATTAATTTAGTATTTGTTATGCACTAAGACAATGGCGTTTATATGAAGTTTGAACTATAAAAATGCATTGTCCAAACAGGAGAACAATTATTTCAACCAAATAAACAAACAAAAAACAATCACAATTAATAAGGGCGTAAAACATATTAACTAGTGTTACATCTTATATGGCAATATAAAATTGAGCCATACATATTGTATTCCATAACAATTAGTATAGAATAAATAAGTATTCACTATAATTAATATTGTAATTAAATAAGTAATGTAGTATTGTAATAAGAAATTCACACAAGTACTAATAAGTTTTAAATAGAGTAACTGTACATGTAAATTTATGCATAGGTTAGCAGTAATTAATTGAAATTTGTATTTGCATATTATAAAATCACACGCAATTCTGCGAATTAACCACATTACGGGTGATGTTTGAAAAATCGCCATAGACTTAACATTTTGCATAGCAATAGCATTACTGATTTTGGCCTGCAGATGTTCGGATATTATATACATTTTTATACATTTATTAGTTTTAAAGATATTTGAATATCCAAATGGCTATCATTATTTGATCGACATGTTACAACTTCTTATTGATATAGTTTTTGTGCAATATTTTTTGTTATGTAAGATTGTGATTGTTTTAAAAATTATTAATTTTAATATTAATATATTACGAATCATAATCTAAAGCTAGTTTGATAACATAGTTGTTATGACTTTATTGTAAGTCTTTCTATGAAATAGACATTAAAACTATGGATACTATCAGTGCATGTTTCTTGAAGTTTTAACTAATTATTACATTATTAGCATTAATAGTGCAGATAAAGCGTTATTTATTACATTGAATACATATGTAAACAATTCGTAAACTAACATAGAGTTAATTAATGTTATGTTAATAATTTATGTTAACTAATATTGATAACCAAAAGGGTAAACATGTAATAAACAAGTGTCTGAGTCGATACCTTCATAAATATTAATAATACACACATACGTGCGATATTGTAATACAGTAGTGACCAGCAAACCATATAACCAGTGCCTTAGCTTTACGGGTACCACACTTTACTCGGACTGACCTCACATACAATGAAACCGAACGCCAAGTCGTATACCTTATTGAAAAATTGTTCAAACAATGACAATAAAGTCAATGGCGCGCCCGATGAGGCCCACCAGCCATACCCCGGGACCCCCTGTCCCATACCGGTGCTCAAAGTGAGTGATGAGCGCCGGTTTGAACTAGATATAGATGCACTCGAGGCCATACTATTGCGCGACTCGATCCGTGACAAACCCCTTGTGGTGGTCAGTATTGCCGGCGATTTTCGTAAAGGTCAGTTTTATATATAAATGTAACCTAGTTGTACTGTACTATCAAGTTGGGTTTGAACATAATTTGATCGGAATTGAGGTTAACTTATCATAAAACTACTAATTATTTGTATACAAACTGCACCGATCCGATTGGGTGGGCACCCATAGGCAAGTCCTTTATGCTGAACTTTTTCCTGCGATACCTGCAGTCCAGTTGCGGCACAACCGACGACTGGCTCGGCTCGACAGACACCTCTATGAAAGGGTTCGCGTGGAGGGGCGGCGCAAAACTGGTCACCACAGGTATATTGATGTGGTCGGAGCCGTTTGTCATTAAACTAGATGACGGCCAGGAGGTGGCCATCGTTTTGATGGACACTCAGGGGGCGTTCGACTCGGAGTACACCTTCAGTGACTCGGCCACTGTGTTCGCGCTCTCCACTATGACCTCATCAATACAGGGTATATATGGCTGATAAATAAAACTGCTTCTGGTCACTCTAGAACCGTTGGTTTTATTTTGTTTTGTTAATGCAATTACGCATGGCTATTTAAATTCTAGCTAATAATATGAAATGATTTTTATCACGTATATATACAGTGTTCAATCTGATGCACAATCTCCAGGAGGACAACCTCCAAATGTTGCAGTTTTTCGCAGAGTACGGCCGACTGGCGCTCGAGTCCACCGGCGATATACCCTTCCAGAAGCTCATGTTTCTCATCCGGGACTGGAGCTTCCCATACGATCACCCGTACGGTCAGAGTGGGGGCGATATGTTTTTGGAAGAAAAGTTGGCCATTAAGGAGAAACAGCCAATAGAGTTGCAGCGAATAAGACAAAACATACGCGCTTATTTTTCCGATATTGGCTGCTATTTAATGCCATATCCGGGCAGAGAAGTGGCCATTAATAAGGATTTTGACGGCCGAGTGGCCGATATTGACTCGGAGTTTGTCGACTATCTGAAGACGTTTGTGCCGCTGATGTTAGACCCCAAGAATGTGGTCGTGAAGGAGATCGGCGGCCGTCAGGTCACCGGCAAAGATTTGTTGGAGTACTTCAAAGTGTATTACAATGTTCTAAAAAGTAATTTATTTATTAATCTCTCTCTCTCTCTCTCTCTCTCTCTCTCTCTCGATTGATATAAAAATTGTAGATAAAATTTAACTGTAATTTTAGATTATATAAAGCGCGGGGCAGGGGTGGAAGCGAACCTGGTAAATGAATTGTGTTAAAAATTAAGCATATTTCTATGGGGGATAATTGTCACAGTATTGTATTATTTTAATTGCAGAATATATGACAATGTTAAAAGTCTGCTTGAATAAAAGCCAAATATTACTATCATGATTTTGATATCTTATTTAAATAACAGCGTGCCCATCCGCTTGGACATTTGTGCTATGACACTTTTCTTAATATATGTTTATAGTTTAATTCGCCATAATACTATATATTTTACTATTTCTATAATAACCAACTTATTTAAATCGATCACCATAAAACAGGCGGAACACTACCCGAACCTAGTTCAATGCTAGAGGCCACCGCCGAGGCAAACAACCTGGCCGCAGTGCTTACAGCCAAAGATGCATACCTGGCCACGATGGAGGCCATCTGTGGCAAGGGAGAGAAATGCATGAGCCCGACAAATCTCTTAAAATTTAACGAAAAACTTCGGGCTGATGCTATTAAACAGTTTGACGAGATCAAAAAGTTTGGCGGCCGAGAGTTCTCCACAGCCTATAAAAATAAGTTGATGGCCGATTTGGACCAAACGTTTGATACAATTGCATCATTGAATGCGATTAAATTTTCTGAATATAACAAAAGGTTATGTTTTTAATTTTGCCCAATACTATAGCGACCAAATTAACGCATTAATGTCATTATTATATGCAATAAGCTTGTTGAATGTTTTAATAGTTTTTAATGTTTTATAATGTATTTTATTCGATAAGCAGAGTCTTTAAGGAAGTAGCGATTATATCTGTTACTGTTACTGGTACTATTATAGCTGTCGCTGCAATAGGAGCTGCCCCGGCGGAAATTGTCGTATTACCGTTAGCACTTTGCGCATTCTGGATAGTCAAGCGCGTGAGTTGTTGTTCATTTTTATGTTTGTTATTTTGTGTACAGTATTGGTAAATATTAGATGATATAGACTTATAACAAAAGATGGTATAGACTTTTAATTATCCAAAATAACTTAAAACAATGCATTTTAAAATAAAATTATCGATTTTGTAGCCCAATAGAGATTGAAAGCTTATGCATCCGAATATAGTATAACTTGGCTTATTTTGGTAAATATGAGAAATATGTGGCTTACATATGAGGCCATGTAGATAAAATCGTAAAATTTGTTTCATAATTTAAGTTTACATTCTTAGGCATCAGAATCCAAGTTTTATCAAGATCGGTAAATAGTTTAAGAACAGGACTTTTTCAAATTATGTCAATCGCTTTAATGGAATCCTATGAGAGGGGTCCGTTTTTGTATTTACCTATGGTTGAAATCATATTAATGCTCAAATACTAAGAGAGATAATTATAACCCTACCCTCTTCTGAGACCTTTGTTATTTAAAGCATATAATGGTTTCATAGTTAGGCCACTTATTTATCATTTTTACTAACAGTTTAACACAATAAATATTTATTAAAATTAAGACCTAATAGATTTATATGCTTTATATGCTTAATAAACTAAAGGCTTATATGCACATTCATATTTGTACATTTGTACATTGTGTGAACATTTACTGTTATTTACAATTAAAATATATAAGCATTTGTGTAAAAATTATTTATTAATCGTTAATAATAATTTTTATTTTATTAGTTTCATGATGACCGGATCAAACAGTGAACGCATTTGGGAAACATTTGCTCACACGATACAATAAATATCAAAAGTAACTTTCAATTTAATATAATATTTTTAAAATTATTTACCGAAATATAATTAAATTCTTGAAACAAGATAATAATTATTAAGCAATTAATAAATATGTAAAATTACAAAAAGTTGGTAATTCTATGAATTGTTTAATAAAATGTTTATAATCAAAAACATCCTTTTGTGTTTATTGTTGAATTTATATAGCTTTCGTAAAGTGAATTTATTTGTATAAGAATAATATTCAATTTGTTAATTATTTAATAATTATCTAGTACGGTTACGTCTTAAACATTGGAATTAATATAATGAATACGTAAGCAAAAAAATTAAGTACACCGCCGAAACACTGCCCCAACGGTTGGACAGTTTGTCCCGGTTTTTGGGTACCCGTTAGTGGTTTACCGGTCAGTTGGTTAAAAATATGCTTTATTAACACTAATATTTATTAAACCAAGATTCTGATGCCTATGAATGTACTTTACATTATTGTACAATTTTCAAAATTCTATCTACACACTAAATTAAGGCTACTTGTTAATTATTTGAACTAATAATATATCAGGAACAGATAAGAAAAATAGACAAGGACATGTTATGCATTGCACTGTATGTTATGCAATGCATCAAACTTCATAGAGGCTCAATTCAATAATAGCATTTTTGTTATACAGTATAAAGCAATTTACAAAAAGCGTAATTTATAATGAATGTATATGGTATTATTAGTAATTTTTTGTGTGTCTAATGTGTGTCTAATTATATACTACATTTATATATGCATAATTACAAACAAGGATCACACAGCGATGCTATTCGTTAACCACAATTCGGAAAATGCATCAAAGATTTTAAATTTTTCAATACTATTGTTAGAATACTCTCACTATTATTATTTTGAGAATTTTAAATGTTTTTGACAACAATTAGTTCTATTTATTCTGGCAGATTCATTTAGTATATCTCCATTAAAAAGCATTATCCCATTGAAATAACATTACTTCCATAGACTTAGCATTCCTATGTCATAGACTTAACATTGTCCATAGGATTAGCATTGCCATAGACTATGACAGATTCATTTATAATCTTATTGTTCCATTGATATACCATTACCCATGTTATCTATATGCCATAGACATAGCATTACCCATAGACTTATCATTGCCATAGACTTAGCATTGCCCATGTTATTCCTATGCTATAGACTTAGTATTACCCATGTTAAAGTATAGCCATAGACTTAAACTGTAATCCGATAGAAACCCATGTTAAAGCATTCTCCCATAGACTTAACATTAGTCCCATTGGATTAACATGGAGAAAAACTACCCTTTCCCTTCATATTTCGCTTTCCTATAAGAAATTTTCTTTCATAGGATTAACATTACCCATAGGATAACATTAGCCCATATTAAGTCTATGGAAAAAGCTCCATAGGATTAGCATTACCCATGTTAAGTCTATGT